GCGGAAGGTCATGTTCCAGAAACTGAGTGTTGCATGCACATCCGTTTCACGTCTGAGTCAACTGCTTGCAGAATGTTGGTTCCTTGCCTCTCAGGCAGATGTAGTCTGACTTTGGCACGCAGTGGGTCTGTTTTTGTTTTCCCCCACAATGGGGCCGCGGAACCCACACGGGGGATTGCACCATCAGTGCTGGAACTCTTGTCTGCAGCTGAAAACTGAATATCCAGCGGGCAGGAAGTGATTTCAGGACCTAATTGATTCATTCATAAAACCAGAGATACACAAACGACCTGAACTAAGCCCACCCAGTCCAAGCTGGGTACCACTCAATATGGGAGGCAAAGGTGAAGATGGCGATGACAGTATTTCACATCGAGTATCGACTGGTCCATAATTTGTTTCCGGGGAACAAAGAAAAGAGCCAATGCCTCCCGAAGAACCATGTCGTAAAAGCAAAAGTGAGTTTTTCTTTAAAGTCGCAGAGGCAAGGAAAAGGCGGTCTGCATAAAAAAAGCAACATCTATAAAACTCAAGTTCTGCAATACCTGAAATGGATGAACAGCCAGAACTTCCTAGGTGGTGAAAGTGAAATGACTTAACAGCCGACATATATAATTTAGAGGGAAAAAGAAAAACCAGATTACTCTCACAAAAGTCAATGTTTATTAAATAAGCCTCCAAAATTTTCAGACAAAAAAGAAAACCACCATGGACCTATTACCCAACAAACACTAGTAGGCTACCAGATCTATTATTGGAGCTGTCAACCCAGTGTTGCAGTAGCTAACAGGTTAGCCTGTCATCCTGGCAGTTCTTAATTCTTCTTATTCACCAGCTGTAAACTCTGGTTGTTCATCCACTTCTGGACTGCAGACCATGTTCCAGAACTTGAGTGCTGCGTATGCATCCGTTTAACAACTCTCACTCATTTGTATGCAGACTGCTGGTTCCTTGCCTCTATTGTTGTTTCCCCTATAACAGGGCCCCCGGGGACACTGTACTTTAAATCCAACTCGAGTAGGAGATTTTTTATTTCCATCTTGATCTTCCAGGTCGACACAACCTAACCTGGAAATTAGCTGGGCGTAACTGATATTGACCTCGCTATCCATAATGTTTCGACCAGGACCAGCTTCATATTTTAATTCCCTTCAACCCACTATTGTAATAATAATTATAACATGTTATAATATATAGCCACTGGTATAGAAATCTAGATACCTGCCTGCAGATCCTAAGGTTGTGAGTTTAAGTCCTGTAGAAGCTGGACATTTCTTCGTTTAAAAAAAGTCGACCCAACCTGAAATAAGGTAAAGTCTTAGAAAGTAAAGGTGGCCAGAGAGATGCTGCCAACATCATCACGTCCTGACTGATGTATAAAATATAGGTCCAGCACTATATCCAACACGCCTGAAAGTTAGGAAAAGGGCCCTTTATTTTTATTATATGTCAAAGTTGAGTTGCAAGCAGAGACAAGTTCCAACTCTTGATACTAGGAGCAGTGTCAGTTTTAACCTTCCTCTTAGTGTAGAGCATTGGCCAACCTAATCGCTCACCATTTTTATATATACCATAACTTTCACTGTTACTTCCAAATAAAAATGTGGACACTGCTGATGCAATGAGAAATATGAATTACATAAGAAAATAAAACAGGATGTAACAATCATCATTCCCATGACCAAAAAAACTGGAAGAAATAAACAGCAGAGTATATTAAATGGACAATGACCAAGAGCCTTGTCTAACATATTTGTACATATTTAACCACTCATTTTGTCAAAGTTTGTTCACCAATATGACTTCATTCTGAATGTACACTTTCTTACCGCTGTTCGTCCCCTCATGTGTATCGCTGTCTGCCTCTTGCCTTCAACTTTACCCTTCAGCATGGTTATTTATTTATCTAGCATTTAATGAGTGCACTGGTATAATTTAACTATTGCATACCCTTGGTCAACTGTACTCACACTCGACAAGTTTCTAATTGTTATCCCAGCATTCGCTGGTGTTATTTAACTCATAAATTAACAAATAAAAAAAATTGGAGTTCAAAGGTGTAATTAATAAGAAAGAAGAATACAAAAGAAGTGACACTAGAAAATGCAATGTAGTCTTTGCACTTGAGCAGTCACAAGGCTATTTTGTTGCAGTTTTTCACATTGATCAACACACAAACATGGATCAAGTCAGTGCTCTTGTAATGTACCACCTATTTGGCTATTAATCTCTTCACCTTTCTTTTCCCCCCGTCAGTCTTGCTAAATGTAGTTTGTGAGTTTGAACCCTCATGCCAAAAATGAGTTTCTTTGGAAAGAAAAAACTTGGAGAAAAGTTTCATCAGCGGGGGGGGGGGGGGGGGGGGGGGGAGGTGGGGGGGCATGTCACATACACAGATTGCAGGCCTATGCTTCACTGGAGACACGCCGTCTTCACAGGCATGTGAAATTGCAGGTCCCTAAGAGCCATATGGGTCACTTGTCATGAGAGACACATAACAAAAATTGTGGTACCCTTATGCTTATTCGGGGACACAGGTGTGCATGTCTGGTCTAAAAACTATTAAGATCCTAAATAGCAAATCCCAAAGATGTACAGCAGGATTATTCTACAAAGTTTACTCAAGGGTCAACGTTTTCAAAATGGGCATTGTCATGGACCTGAGCCCTAATATTTAAAAAAAAAATAATACAGTACAGCTGACGATCAGCTAGCCACTTACTACGTTCCAAGATTGAAGAGCCTAGATGCTTAACGTAACAAATGCCATGATTTCATTATCTGTTAAAATCACTGATGAGGAGAACAGATATCACAACACTCAGGGCATTTCTATTAGCTAGACTATGATGGTTAGTGCAAATAACAGAGACCAAAACTGCACCTAATTTGTGAATAAGAGCAGACCATAAGGCAGCCGCCCTGTTCCCTTTATTCCAGGCATCCTCATTCACAACAAAAGAAAGGTGATACCTGCAAACACAAACCTTTAAGGACTCGGAATGCTGAAGAAACAGAAAGGGTTAGTTGAAGTAACACCTGCTCCGTACTGAGAGAGCTGATATATGGTGAATCTCAATGAAACCTTCAGTGAAAGCTAAGACCAGTGCTGCCAACTCTTTTACACAAATACTGATTTACTTCTAGACTTTATGCAAGAATTCACATGCATGAAGATACATAAGAGTCTTAAACAGACTGCTCCACATATTCAAGCAATTATCTCTTCATACAGGAAATAAAAAATTTAAAAAATAACAAGGTAATGTGGTATTCTGACAATTTATTTTTTAAAAAAATTTTAACACAGAAAGAAAATGATACATGAAAATTAACATCTGGTTGTACACACACATACAAAAGTTACAAATGAAGCCAGGCTAATGTTTACAAAGACTATAATTGACAGACTAAACATTGTGGAATGAGAAACCGCAATATTTACAAGGGTAACAAAGGAACAAGGGCCCGCTGCATATTACCACACAAAAAAAAAAACAGAATTAAAAAAAGATGTACGTATTTTAGCATGTTAGACAAGGCCTTTTCTTTCTGGAATATTCTGAATCTTAAAAAAAAATTGGTGATGTAACAATTAACAGAACAATGAACAGAAGACACTGTAGGACTCGGACAATGAGGTCACAGGACAACACAGTCATCTGGTAGAAACAAAACATGCAACAAATTAAAATGAGTGTAATAAACAGTCAGAATAATAGAACAACAAGTAAACAGTAGTCTCTTTAACCCTCTTCTTCTTCATCATCGTCCTCTCCTTCTCCCTCTTCCTGTAATTGAGAAAACATATATTATGATACAGAAGTATCAGCGATGAAAATGTTGGCAAACAGTAATAATTACAAAAAAATGTGGTCGTTGTACAATTAATTTATCATTGTCTTGGGTAATATCTCCTTGCTTATGCTCACTTGATAACTCCGGCATACAAAAGTTATGGTTGTTTGCCCATTTCTAGACTTTGGTCTTGTCTCATAACTTCAGTCTGGTATGTATAGATCTGGCGCATTTGTTTGCAGACTGTTAGTTCCTTACCTCTCAGGCAGATGCACTCTGACTCCTAGTAAGTCCGCTACTACGACCTCTTTCCCCTCCCCGGGAACTTACACAGAAAGGCGAGTATAACTCAAGCTTAGAAACGCTGCCATACATATTTAATTCTAAATATTCCCAATCTGATTGCACTGCAAATCTGTCTTAACTTTTTAGATACAGCAACAAGTGACAAGTGGCTTAAAAAAAATAGAAACCATACCAACACTAGCTGTGGAAAGGCTAAATAAGCTAGCTTAACCCTTTTTGGAGACTACGTGGGCGAAATATCGGCATGACACAAAGTAGCCAGAAGAACAACTGCTCCGATCAGTCGGCCCTATGTAATACAAGCCTTGGGATTGCTTCTCACATTTCTTGCACATGCAGACTGTTTCCTGACAGCTTTTCAAAGTTTGAGGTGTTAGGTAAATTTACATCAATTATGTCTGCAGTTACCTGCGCCCAACAATGACAAAAAAGACGTACAATCGAAACATAGCTGGAGGCTGGAAAATTGGTAGAACCATGTGCCAGAAGGGCCTACCTTTCCAAAACACAAGTGTTGGGACTTATTTAAGCTTCATCCACCAATTTCTTTTTAGGTTAGTCGTATTTATTGCCAAAAATTTAATTTAAAAAACTGCTTGCATAAATTATGCAAATCAGAACAGTTTATAATAAATGAGATTTCATTTGATTCATAAATATTCTGTTAGCTCATCCAATTTTGTATATGTTAATTAAACAGTTTATTTTTATTATTTGTTTGTGTATAAACTGAGAGAATTCCTCCACTGGAGGCTTCGTCTTCATGGCACTGAAACTCCAAAAAGGCTCCATCTCCAGAGGGTTAATCAAACATGTCACATAGATACAAGTAGTTAATCATAATGAAATTGAGTGATCTAAAAACAACAACTATTTATCAGTAAACTAACACATACCTCTTCAGGCTCCTCTTCATCTTCAAAGTTGCCTTCATCATCAAGTTCTTCTATAAAAAAAAAAATCAATAAATGAGACTTAGTTGCATGTTAAAGTGCCCAAGAACATTTAAGTACCTCCTGTGCTGCTATATGTAGATTCAGACTAAAATGTGCCCATACATTTTCTGCAGCCTTGTGTGAATTCAAATACCATAATAATTATAAAAGTGACATGCAAACATGCTATGGTGTCATCTATCCACATCCCGCCTCCCCCCGCTACAACAAATGAATAAATGCTGAATTAAGAAACAACGCCATAGCACTCAGGACACTCCATTCCCATCTTCAGTTGTAAATAAAATAGCATAAACATTATGTTGTTTGTTGATAAGTACAGACGGTCATGTTTCTCCATTTCATATCATCACAAACATTATTAAGTCAGTGCTTTTGTCCCACCCCTAGCCACATGACTAAGCCTCTGAGTACTCATCCTTTTGCGTTCACAATGTGCATTTATCAACAATGGTGACACTGTTAACAAGTTCCTGAGTCGATTGCTTCTCAGTTTACCCCCCCCCCCCCCAAAAACATTGGCAGTTTTTCAAATCAATTTACGGTTTTCATCAATCTAAGGTCTTAGCGTTCTCTGCCGTATGTTTTTAGGACAAAATACAGAAATAACTGTCAAACCACCACAGCTGTCCTGTATTTATAACACGTTTTAGGCTGGTGTAGACTGGTCATAAGCCTGAAGATGTGGAGACGGCATGTCAGGATGTCGAATTTGGCTGACAGATCACTTTAATAGCAGTCGAAATAATAATAATAGACAGAGCACCACAAATACTTTGTAAAAAAATATTTACCTTCGCCTCCATCACCACCAGTTTCCTCATCGACTTCGGAAGCCTAAAAAAATGATGTAGGATGAGTAAAATACAGATAAAGGGACTAAAATTCACAGATGACAAGGCTGGGGGTATTATTTATATTTTTACATCTCTCTTGGAGTCAACTGTATCCTGACTGCAAATGTAATGTGGGTTGTTGTAGATGGCAATGGTGGATCACACTTAAAACTATTTCAAAGTAAGTTCACACATCAAAATAGTGCTGCACAAACAGCAGCCAGTTACAGATGCATTGTGGGCAACTGCACACACAGCAAGGCTGTGCGAATGATTATATGTGAGAAAGTAAAGATACTGCCAACAATGTCCGTTTAGCGAAATGTTGCAAAATATTGCCATGTGATTACAAATGTAGACATACAATAGCTAGCTTATATCACACACTTCAAAATGTGAACTACCACAAGTCATTCACGGAAGCAGATTCTGTAATTTGGGAGACAAACCAGGACTGTGGATAATCAGTCTCAAGACCTCAAGCCTTGTACTTTGTAATTAGTAGTCTGTCAAGCTGAGGTGGGACTGAGCCTCGAGAGGCAGGGGGTAAGAAGTGTTGGTGTTGTGGGTAGTGGGTTCCCCCCCTTACTTCACCCTAGGTCTAGTGAATATCTGTTCACGAAAGGAGCGTCCATTGTGGTGTCAGCCTCTTGACCTAGCAAAACCTCTCTTACCTCAAGACCATTGTGCGTGGCGAAGAGTCACAGCCTCCCCGAGGTAGTCCCGGTAACTGGGGGTGCGAATCCCCAGGCAAAACACAATGGATCTAGAGGAGCAAACCTCGATAATAAACCCGGTGCACCACACCGTACTGCCCCCTGTGGGAGGGAAGGAGCCAGGGGTGTGCTGAACAGTCTTAGGAATGGAAACAAGTATGCTAACCCCCCTGAATACCGGAAATTATCGTGAAGGCACAGGGACTCAGGACGTGACGATCCAGTTGCCCCAACTACTCATGCTTAGGCCATGCTTAGAGACATGAAGAGCTCAGCGAAACCTGCAGGCAATCTGGTGGCGGGGAATGAGCACACTGTGAGCCCCACCTTAGCTACGTGTTAAAGGGAAAGGCAGAAACACAACCCATATTTCCTTTAGAACTGGTACAGGGCATTTCTAGCTGCTGCCCGGGGAGGTAGGTAATCCACAGACACCCCAGCACCACAATGCCATGAATATGTCAAGCTGAGGTGAACAAGCTTAAAGTAGGCAAATTGCTGTTCCTGCCAGTGATGTGTAAAATGTTAGAGGTGTTCATATGTTCTAGAGCAGGACAGTTCAACTGGCAGCACACAGGCCAAATCTTGAAAACAGGAGCATAGCGAGTGGCCCACGGACAACTGCTAGTTGAATTATCTGTCTATGTCTCAGCTCAGACATCCAGACCCTCTGACAATCCCTATTTTTAGAGTAAATCTAGATAAATAGCCCTGTCTTAGATATACAAAAAAGGGGCAGCAATACATACAAAGAAGCACAGCAAATTCCCTCCCCATTAAATTGTCTAGCTTCATTTTGCTGGGTGACTATTGAAAAGTATCCGTAACCCAAAAAAAAAAAAAAGGTGCAACCCTGGCCATGAAAGTCAGACAAGCCCAAAAATCACTCTGCCACTGTGACCTATGTGAAATGGAAACTGCTACTGAGAAAACATAACGTAATGTGTGCCTGCAGCTGCAAATACTGAGGCTGTAATATGTGTGGTTGCATAAACTGTATGTTTCATTCGACTAACCCGGACATATAAAAATGGAAGAATCAAGAAGGATACTTGGAGGAATATGGACTGAAGGAGTCACAGAGAGCCTAACAATTTACAATATCACTGCATGACAAGCTCAGCCACCTATCATCTAAACAAATAGCAATCTCCCCCCCCCCCCCAAATGTTAATAAGCCGTGTGGCTGTATAAAGCCATGACAATACACAATTTTAAAAAGTGCTAAAGTACACTTTATTAAATTATTTAACACTTCACTAGCTGAATGTTTTGATTAATTGTCCACTCCTAAACTTTGGTCTCGATCCAGAGTTTTATGTTCACGTCAATTTCACACATCTGGTTTAATTGTAGGCAGACTTGGTTCCTTTTCTACCAGGCAGATGCACACTGACTCTGCAGGAAACACCCGCAACTAGTCACCTTCTACAACATGCCTGTTAGGGCAGCAGTGGGAGTATTCTGTTCTCTAAAACCGAACCCTAGGAACCCAAACAGGGAGGTTCCATGGAATAACAACATGCTAGTGTAAAAAGTCTGCAAACTCACCAAGTAGTACTGTAAAGGATTAGGCCAGATATCATCCTTGATAACCTCTCCGAGCTCATCGGCTCCAGCATCAGCGTGGTCACAAAACCAACTGAAGAAGGATTCCTGCTCATCGTGGCTCCTCTTCTTTCCCTTGTTTGAACTGCCTTTCTTGGTTAAGTCCTGTTGGGGAAAAGGTTTCATGTGTCAGTCAGACATCTAAGAAATGTTACAGGTTAAAATTGCAAACACACCCTACCCTGATAACTGCTATTTTATTATTTCTTACAATCCTTAGATATCGGCTGAGATGTTGCGTCGGGTCAGAATTCTCCTGGGCTTCTACACGTGGTGGATTTCAGAACCACCTGTGTTAATGACAGCATCACCCTTTAGTGCAGTCTCAAAAAATCAAGGCACTTACACACCCTCCTCGTCTGGTCCTATGTCCTGAATGCAGAGTTTCAACTCTAATGCACTGGCATTCACATGCTGAATGTCTGAAAATGTATGCTATAATTAGGTTGTGATTCGGCATACTACAGACTAACTAGGATTGTGTTCAGATTTGTATTTTTATTTACTGTTCAAAGCTTAGGTGAGTTGCCGATAGTGTAGCGGCTAGAAGGTACAGACCTATAAACCAAGAACAGTCCTGGGACATAGTGGGCACACCCCAGAGTGCTAATTAGTCTATTAAATGTAAGTATAGTCCTATATGCCCAATGGTATAGAAAAGGGTCCTTTACTTTACCTTTATAAAGATTTCATTTAACAGCATGCTTGTAACAGCGTACAGAGCAAAGAAAGCAAAAAGAGGAGAGCTTTAACTCGCGACGTGCAAATATAGCACATCTGGTGCATGCATATTAACAATGGTGGAAAGGCATTCGTGCCAAAAGACAATGCACTATGATGTCCAGCAGCCACAGTGTTTGTCTTCTCAAGTGCAATGTTCTGTCAAACTAAAAAGGCTACTCTCAGTTAACAAATGCCAAAATGTACTAGCCCCAACCTGCAAATTATAGAGGACTTACAAATTACAGAAGACTTGCAAATTGCTACACTATAAATATTTTTTTTTAAATTCACAAGGACAGGTTATCAGTCAGTTTCAAAGACAGGCAAGACAGAGAGAGAGGGAGGCACCAACATCAAGTCGCCTTACCTTTCCTTCTTTCCATTTGATAGGTGTTGATTGGGATGAAGGGTCGCCGGTGTCATTTAAATGAAACTCTTTTGTCAGAATGTCATTCGTGAAGTATGGATTTGTGTCGAAATACTGGGGAATCAAACACAGAATCACCTCAATATTTATTGGCTACCATGGATGCAAACAATAACAAGACAGCTTTATGTAGGTTATATGCATGTTGCATTTTTGTTCACACCTGACCAGGTAAGAGCAGAACACAAACGCCTGAACTCTAGCGTAGAAAGATCATGAGTGCATTAAGCAGGTCACAATGTTGAATAGCCCTGCCCTAGTGAACAGCAGAAAATGAATACCACTATCTAGTTTTTACAATTACACAAGTCTGAAATATGGGTCAAACCATATTCTACCCAGCGGTTAGCAATTAGACCCAGAGCTGTGGACAGATTATTTTCAAAGGTTCCCCACAGATACTTTACATTTAAAGTCATAGCTTATAATTTAAAATTGTCAACAATTTTAGTAGACAGCTGGGATTAATTAGTAAATAGTATAAGATATATAACATAACCCTTGAACCGCTAGTGTAACGATGGAAGCACTAAAACACACAAGTTTGCCATCTTTCTCTTGTCTTCCGTTTGCTAAAAAAATGTTAGATAGCTTAGCTGAGTCCATTTCTTGATGTCTCACCACGAGCCCAAACCAAGCTAGCTTGCGATGTTTCACCACTGCCAAGAGAGGCTAGTGATGTCTTATAAATGTGTTTATTTTGTCTCTGACAATTTGTTAGTTTTAAGTTCTAAATAACTAATTAATACAAAAATCTGTATAGCAGTTATGTTTTAGTAAATAGGTATTTCATAAAGAAGTAATATTCAAATGCTCTATACTCACAAAATTTATTCTGTAACCAGATTTGATGTCTTCGAATTCTTGAACCTCAACTTTTGTAAGAAACTGAAGTGCCTCTTCGTCATCTTCATTGAGCAAGGCTGACACTTGTGGATGATTGACAAACTGGTTCTTGAGTTAAGAAAAGTGTGCAAGCATATTTGACATAGTAGCAAATTAGCCGCTGTTACGCTCAAAATAATAGTAAACATGTTCAGATGTGCCTGTGGGGAGGAGATGTTATAAAAATAATGCTCAGCTTAGAGAGAATTTACATTCCTGCAAACAATGCTGAATAAGAAAAATATAAAGAAAACCAACAGTATGACTATAAAACATTTTCACAGAAACCCACAGCAGTAGAAAAAGAAGATGGTAGATTTAAAAAATATACAGAAAGATAAGAGATAAATGCAGAGGCAACAATACAAAGGATATGCTTTGCATGAGTTAGACAAGTTTATGCTCTACTAGGGAATAACAGGAAGACAGACAGGGTTATAATATCTAGCATTAGAGAGCTGGAGATATCTTTAGATCAGGGTACTGTACAGATTTTAGATTTTACCTCAACTATCAATTAGCTTGAGCAGGCACATTCACAACAGCTGCTGGAATAAGGCTCTGCAAACGTGCTCTATAATGCTGAATTCGATCCAAGCTTCCCTGTGTGGGTTCCGGGGCCCTATCGTGGGGAAAACAAGAATAGACCCTCTGCCTACCCAAAAGCATGTCGCAAGAGTCGACTAATTGAGGAGCTTTCTTTGAAGTCAGAGTGCATCTGCCCGAGAGGCAAGGAACCAACATCTGTAAAACTGATGCACACGCAACACTCTGAAGCAGGACTGCAGTTCAGAAGTGGACGAACAACCAGAACTTTCCACCAGAGTGTACAGCTGGTGAACGCGAAGTAGATCCAAGCTGCATGCCATTTAGCTGCAAACCATCTTGCATTAGTTTTTGCAGCTGTATCTATAGCCGACCATCCAGAGCAATGGCAAACTACTTTACTCAGTGTAGATTTGTCAAGAACACAACAATAGCCAAAAAATACTAGGGGAAGGTTCTGCAATGTTCTGTAAAGGCCAAGCAGCTAGCTGTAAAAGCATAAAAGAATTGCTATGATAGATTCACAAAAGCCGGTCAGCACCTTAGAAATTAAGAAAAAATGCAAAACAAGAGGACATTGTCAAGAAAACACAAGAGGACAATCTTCAACTTCTGCATAGTGCAAATTAATATTTATTAATATATTATGTTGTTTTAACAGCTGTACAATTCCTAAAAAAAAAACTATAAATCTGACCTCAAAATACTACAACACTTGCAATAAGCAAGTGAATCTGATACAAAAAGGATACAGCAGTAACCCAGAAGTTTGGAATCCTTGCTATAAGGTCTGATCTCTTCTTGAAGAAAGGCTGCCTAAGTGTATTGTATTTCTGTTCCACTTTGAGAATCTCCTCACTTGCATTTTCATTGAGCTTGTCAATCTCATTCTGAACTTCATCTATTTGTTCAATTAACTCCTGCTGCTCTTTATCTGCAGACAAAACAAGAGTCAAATTAGTCTCAACAATACAATCTCTGATAAGACATATCCATTTGATTATTCTTCATTATGTATAAGGGATTACATTAAGCAATAAGATGTGGGGAAATAGAGATAGGTCAACAAAAGCATCTCAGATAAACTTTCAAACTGACCTAGATAAAACCATAATCAATTTAACCCTTTCGCTGCTACGTTCCCGGAAATAGCTGTCTGCCCTGTGCTAAGCAATGTAAAAAAAAAAAGTCTCTGCTGTGCGCAATACTTTTCTATCCTCCAAACGCAAGAGATGCGTCGGCGGTGATGGCTATATTTTGTACACCCAAAAATTTTAACCCTGGGAAGTTGTGTGGTTGGTCCGAGTGGTGACAAGTCAGAGGCACGATGGTGGCCCACAAACTTGACTAACTGGGGGGGGGGGGGGGTGATTAATGGGAAGAACTGTTCCCTGTCCGTATCCCAAAATTTGATTGACGAACCTAACACGGCTGCCACTTTAATCATAGTTATTTGAGGTCACCATGTTATTAAATACCAAAATAATAAAAAATTTAATAATAATACTTGAGTCGTCCGTTGATGAAAAGTAGCAGGAACTGAAAGGAAAATTAACAATAATTTAAAAAAAAAAAAAACGACTTCGGGGGTTGAACACACGACCCTCTGATTCTAAGGTGAACGTGATACCAACTACACTATACTACCGCTTGACGTATTTTGCTGTGTGAATGATAATAATGACTGATGTACGCAGACTATCAATAACGTGCCTAAGATTGTAGTCTATCGCCGCCTGCATGAGCACTGTTGTCTGAGAAATGTTTGAGATTCTCAACAATAGTAAAAATATGTCCGCCGACATTATTTCACGGGAGTTTTTAGCAAACAGTCTGCTCAAGTACTCTATTTTGAGTTTCTTTGTTCTAAGCATAAAAAAAAAAAAAATCGTCCGAATCTGTGTCTGTCCATCGGGAAAGACGAGAATTTTTAGAGACTGAACTGTTTGAATTTACAGTAGCTGAAATACAGCCAGAGCTGGAGTCATCACAATTATACACTACTGGTTTCAAATCATCGGTTCACAAAGACAACTGATCAATTTATTGCCGTTTTGATGGCGCTTCATTGTCGCTGCTCTCTGATTCCGACAATGAGGACATCGGACAGGCAAACAGCATTTTTTTGGACACGACGGTTTCAGCAGTCGATATTGATGGCCTAGTCAAATCTTTTTGTTCACTGTCAGAAGTACACATTTCAAAGACATCTTCGCTATCACTTCTTGACAGAAACTCCATAAATTCTTCATCAACTTTAACAAGTTTTCTTGCCATTTTGTACTAAGTGTAGAATAATACAAAATCACAAATATATATCAGGGCACAAAATACACAGATCACCGACCACGCTGTCACGGTAAACAAAGCAACGGGATAACGCAGAATGCAGTGAACACACCTTAAACACACCTAAAAGTACGTGCCAGTGCTTTTAATCATATGTAAATGGGTCAGTTTAATCTAAATATAGTTAATGTATATTGCCCTTCAGCCAATAAAATACGAGGTAACAGAAATCTGTAAGAAAAGTCCAAAAACGGCTTTAGACGTCCATAGCACTGGGGGTCAAGAAAAAAAATAACGTCCAAAGACGGGCGTAGCAGCGTACGGGAAATCGGGAAAAGACGTCCATAGCAGCGAAAGGGTTTAAAAAAAAAAAACTTTCGAACTGATGTAGAAAAAACCTACTAGCAATCAACAAAATCATAGAAAATAATTGCAAGTCTAATTGCGCAAGGATTTTATTTCTGTTGGTAAGCAGTATCTGCACCATTTATTTAGTGTTACTGTCATGTAATTTTTAGGGAGTACTGGCACCTTTATATCTAACAAAAAAAAACTGTTTGTTACTGAAATTAAACCCTTGTACTTTGAGGATCATGAGATTGTTAAACACGCTTAAAACATGTTTTAAATACTGGGTTAGACTAGTTTGTAATGAGAAAAATACCAACCACAGTATTTCTGGGTTGTTTTAAATTTTACTAGGCTTTGCCTTGCCGGCAAGCCTTTGCAGATAGTTGTCTGATGAAAGTTTAATCACAATGAATTACATTTTTTGGGGAAAACTTCGTCTACTCAGAAAATATGTTTGTAAACATAAATGATGCTGACTAATTAACTAGTGTTAAGCGATACTTATACCAACATATAGTCGTCAACATCAGAACTTGATAGATACAAGAGATCATGATCATGGGACATAACTCCCAAATAAACAGTCGAAAACAGGCAACTAATTGAAAAAAGTCTTACAAACTAAATAAAACGGCAAACATATTGACAAATCACTTTTATAAGTTCTATATTAGATATACACGACATGTATATACATCTACTGTTAGATATTGTAACATAACATTACAATTTAACAGAACAACAAGCAGAACACATGGTCTTTTTTTTAGGTCACCATCTCACAACTCGAACATGCCAATACCATGCTCGCCTGGGATATCATATCCATAAAAGCTTCACTTTATGAAATTACCCGTGCGATATCAAACTATGTTCACAACAACATACATCAAACAAGTATATTAAAACATAAAAGAACCTACCAGCCTGCTCGTCGGCGGCATCGTGGTTATTTTTGCTCTCAGATTTGGTGACTTTAGCCGAAGTCGCCATGATCAACGTGAAGCGGGGTAAAAAAGAGAACTGGGTTACTCGACGCGCAGCCGCAGTCACTCTACTTCCGGTCACTAAGTGCGCGGAAGAAACCGGTCGTCTTTATCTTCACCAACGCCTTTAAAAATGTTTCTTGTTTTTCCTTTCCCTTTCTCTTTTAATTCCACCTTTGTCTAAATTATGTGAACGTTGTAAAGGTGTATATTTGTGCTCTGTTGCCGGTGTAGAATAATTTGGCGGTATAATTTATGTCGGGCAGGTATATTGTGTGAACGCAGTCATCTCCTTTGAATTTGACAAAATGTTTAAAAAAGTAGGACGAGCCGGAATACGAAAGCGATGTAGTATCCTGAAAATCCATAATTTCGTTCGCTGGTAATGTGTCTCAAACTACTGGACGAAATTTTGCCTAGAAAAACCACAACAACCAAAATGCTGGGGTCATTTCTGCAACGTCCAGTATAGGATACGCAACTAATTGACTTCAACTTTTAATGTGCCTATCTCCTCCTCCACCCACCCCTCCCCAGTTTAAAAAAAATGTAATCATAAAATTAATTACCCCCTATCTCCTGCCTTTTTGTCGTTTTTACCTTTCTCCTTCTCTCCTCTTGTTTGCATGCTTCGCATATCTGCTTTAGTCTGAAAATGAAAGACAATGGCTGTGCTGTTTTCGCTCACATTATGTCAGTATATGGGTTATATATATAAGGACCCTGTTCCACGCCTTTAGGCGTATAGGGATAGACCAATATTTTTTATAGACCAGCGGCACAAGATGGGTGACGTGGTCAGCATCACGCAGGCAGCCTTTACTTCCCGGGACTGCACCCGGTAACCACTCAAGGCTGGGTCGACCTGGGGGCCAAGGTCATTTTTTTAAACGAGCGAACCCAGGACCTTCCGATCCGCGGCGCGTGTCTAGCCGTTCTGCCACGGCGACTCCCATATATATATATATATATATATATATATATATATATATATATATATATATATATATATATATATATATATATATATATATATATATATATAGAGAGAGAGAGAGAGAGTTTTAGATCAAATTTTGTCACCCTAATTAGAGATGATCCCCGGGGCAGCCAGCTTCCTCCTTCCAATGCCACTGTCTTCTATTACAGTGGCGCTGACACATTGAAAAGGGTTTTTCGGATTTAATAATAAAAAGAATCATCGCCGGAGCTACGGATTGCGTGCTCTGTGCTTGATACCATCTGCAGGTGGCAACGGAGAGAGTGGGAGAAGGATTTGACGAGCAAATGGAGAAGGGGGAATGCATAGAAATAGGAGCCCGGAGAGTCAGGCGAAAAACGGCGCGTCTGGGATTAAAGCATATTAGAGTGGGTTACTGGAATTGTCGTAGTGCCAGGCAGAGGACATGTTGGTGGAGAGGCTGATTTAAGACTGATATCATCATGCTGCAGGAATTCAACATAGATAGATATGAGTGGCCTGGATACATTAGTTATATAAATCCAACTGGACAGCGAAGACATGGACAGTGTCTGCTGATGAAAAATGGATTAAAGCATGGGGTTCTTGACCTGGGCCAGTGCACTCATAGTACACTAGAGGTTCAGGGTATACAAATAGTTAATGGGGGAACAACCTGAACTTAGTAAATGTTTACTCTGCTGTTGAATCTCTTGTAAAAAAAAAAGAATATTAGGACTGGCTCAACGAGTTGGAAGAAATCCCTGGTAAAAGGTTTCTCATCTGTGGGGATTTCAATGCGCGGAACAGAGCATGGGACTGTAGTAGTGAAAATAGGCAAGGAAATGCTTTAGCGGAGGCTATTGTGGATGCAGACGTAGTCTGTATAAATGACGGTAGGCCAGCTAGATTGGCAATGAGACCTGGTGATGCAGACACGGCTATTGATTTGGTGTTAGTTATGCAGTCAGCAGTGCTAGACACAAAATGGATTGTCCTAGGCGATCATGGGGGTGATCATATGCTATGCTCAGTCTTGATTTCTAAAGCTAGCAAATTTAGAGCTGTGAGAAATAGCAAAACTTTTTAGTTTAAGAGGGACAGTACCCTTCCTGGACGCCTTCGACAGAAGGTATGCAGCAGAACCACCATCTCTGCTTTTGTGCAGCCTCCATGGTGGACAGAAGAAGTGAAACAGACATGGAGAGCTAAGCGAGCAGCAGTTAAGAAATTACAGGAAGTGCGAAAGGGACCTCACAGGTTACAACTGGATGTATAGGGGCTAGAAAGAGCTGGAAAGAAAATAAGTAGAAGATTATGAGCGAAATTGGAAGGCGTAGATCACTGGGTAGGTTTTGGAGACTTCACGGACAGATGCGAAGGAAGTCTCGGCCTATCACAATAGGTATTATATACATTGATAATGATATAGCAATGACAACAGACAAAGAGAAAAGAAAAACATGTTTAAACAGATTTATAGCCCAAACTTATCATAATGATAGGCAGCTTAGAAATTCATTTAGAGATAATCTGTATAATACTATAAATTATAATTATTTTGAAGATATTATTAGGACTGAGGATGTAAAACATGTATTGCAAAAAGCAAAGGGCACTGCGCCTGGGCCAGACGGAGTCAGGTAAGCCCACATGAAGAGCATGAGTGATGAAGACTTGAGGGGGGCTGCTTTTTACTTCAACCAAAGCATCAGAACAGCTTCAGTACCCCAGGAATGGGTACACAGCTACCTAATTCCACCTCCAAAACCAGGCACAGATTATTCCAAACTCAGCGGTTTCAAGATTGTCACCATACAAAATACTTTTGGCAAGGTGCTAGAGAAGATTATTGCTGTTAAAATACACGTTTTTTTTTTTTTAGAAAGGGAAGAGCTCCTGCCAAAAGGTTTGGGTAGTTACCGGCCACGAAAAGATATCTGGTCAAATGTAGCTGCTTTTGCTTTTGATGACTATGAGGGGTTCCAGAACAGACAGGAGACGGATGTGGCAGCACTTGATTTTTTGAGGATATGCCAGGCTTTGTTGTACCAAGCGACGTCCGTTCGCCTTTGCTATGAACCCCCATGCACTTCGTCTGCCCCTCACCACAAAGCCATCTGTATATACAATCACATCACATGGGCGGGAATTGTCATGATATTTAGTTTGAGAATGGAGGTGAAGGCAGTCACTGCTGTCTTTCGCTGGCTTGAGAATCAGCTGTACACACATGCCGTCATTATAATTGACAGAGCATGTTGAGAAAGGCGGAGACACGCTTGCTCCGTGCAGAGTGGCAAGCATCACTTTAGAGGTCCTGGTTAGTTAGCATCCTTTGGATATTTTCTCCAGGTCATGTCGGTATGTTGGAAAAGGAGCAGGCAGACAGACTGACCGGTTCTGCACCACTTGGTGGCGAACTGATGTATGACAAGCTAGATGTTGGAACAAGTTGGGAACAAGTGATCAGTGCGGAGGCTCAAAGATCATTACGGTCTGAAGGAAATGACGCTGTAGGGAGTTACCAAGGGCTGACGCTCAACACTTGAGGGAAAGGCCAGACAGATTTACAATCAGACATTTATTGGTACCATCGGAATTGAAACTCCTAGCTTGCTGCTGAAGTTGGGGACGGAGCTCTTATGGAAGTGTCCCGAGTGGTATGATGTCGATTCAAAAGGGGCTTTGGCAGACTGTGAAGAACATTTTATAGTCAAGAGGATCTACTTCAGTGTATCAGAATTTATTGCATATGGCCCGGTCTATCTCAAGAACCTGTGTCGCACACAGCACGAACCCAGTAACTGTAGCAACCATCCCGAGTGATCTCAGTAAAAAAAAAAAAATTGCAATCGTGCACTAAACGACACCTCCATTAAACGAACCCTGGTCTGTAGAGCGCGAGACAAACGGCTTATTCCCTTCACCCCGGAGATCCCCAGAGCAGTGGTCTCCAATTTTTTCAGTAACAACCGACCAGGCTGCATCGAGATACCAGCTAAGTGATTTTGTGTATCTGCGTAGTATTGTTTAATTTTTCTGTGCTGATGAAGGCTCAGTAGCCGCAACGTTTACGTTTTGTTTGTATTTGTTATATTGTGAAGCTTGCTAATATACATTTCGTTCGGTTTTATATCTTTTCTCTAATTTTTTTTCAGGACGCGCCCCCTTGAGAATTTAACAAGGCCTCACGCCCCATTTGGCTAGATGGCAGAACCCCTACGTCTACCCCCCCCCCCCCCCCCCGTTGTTTTTTTAAACAACGTAGTAGTAGCAGTATATTTTACTCAACTAGGACATCCCACAACCGGAAAACACCCGATGACACAAAGTGCCACCATGTGAATGAGGATCACCCGTGGAGAGGTCCCAGAAACCGCGTTCAGCCATTAGGCCATTTTTGTGCCGGGGCTATATTGCGGCCCCTGGTAAGAGCTAGAGTGGGGCTTCAAAATAACGAAAAATTGCATACCACAAGGGGATGACGATATGTAACATACTAAATGTGGTTAAACAGAGAAGAACCCTAGATTCCGCAAACAAGAGAAACAGACAGTATAGAAGTACGTTTTGGTCAGAATGTGTTGTTATCTATAATGAAATGCCTGAGTGATTATATTAATTAGGGTTTTAACCGAGGATGTACAAACTGCTTATGCAAACAAAAAATGTAACTGGCTTGATGTTGTAATATAGTTTTAACAAATATTTTAATCAAAGCAATGTTTCCCTGTTGTATATTTGAACAAAGAAGACACAAACAATAGGTTGCACAATTTATTGCCTGGCATATTTTGCTGTAAGCAATGTTTCCCCGTTGTAACTCGTCACCTGCGTCGGAACTCTGTATACAGAAAGAGATGGTTCTGTCTTTATGGTTGCCCTGGTAAAGGGCACTGGTAAAGGCACTTATGTTACATCGTTAATGAAATTGTACTTCAGTTAAAAAGGATTCACTTATCTGCTTCATTTTTGTAATTGTTACTGTAGAATGCACCTGACGAGATACAGCGAAATTTGCCGGGCAATAAATTGTGCAATCT